CTACTCATTGGACGGCAGTTAAAAGAATCCTAAGGTATCTTCAGTATTCTCAAGGGCTTGGACTTCAAATTGTCAAGTCCCCTTCCTTGCTTGTTACTGCGTATTCTGATGCAGACTGGGCAGGGTGTGCTGATGACAGAAGATCCACTGGTGGTTTTGCTATGTTTTTGGGATCTAATCTTGTGTCATGGAGTGCAATGAAGCAAGCTACTGTCTCAAGATCAAGTACAGAGGCTGAATATAAGTCATTAGCAAATGCCACAGCTGAAGTAATGTGGATACAAACATTACTCTATGAGCTTGGAATTAAAGCTCCAAAGGCTGCACGGTTATGGTGTGACAATATTGGTGCAACTTATCTTTCAGCCAATCCTGTCTTCCATGCACGAACAAAACATATTGAAGTGGACTTTCATTTTGTCAGAGAGAGAGTAGCTCGAAAGCTACTTGAGATACGGTTCATTCCTACAGGGGATCAACTTGCCGATGGGTTTACTAAACCCTTGACAGAGAGAAGATTGGATGAGTTCAAATACAATCTCAACCTTAGCAAGGCTTGAGGTTTAGATTGAGGGGGAGTGTTAGAATTATTGTATAGGGATAGGAGAGGTGTTTAAACTGTATCTATCTCTTCTTCTCTCTATCTCTTGTAACGACCTCCCCGGTCGATCTCTTTCTGTTCCGGTCGATCTCTCCCTGGTCGATCTCCTCCTCTGTAACTTGTCCACCAAGGCTTTGCCTCAATATATACAACGCGGCCCGAGACAAAGGGTTCTACGCTTCCCAAACTACTTTACAACAGACACTGGTTACCAAGCTAATTAAGTACACACAGGGGTGGCTTGGCTTGGCCCAGATCAAATCGAACCTAGGTCGATGTGACATTCGCATCACGTCGGCGTCGCACATACTCCAACTGCATCCGGATTTCTTTGCTTTCTAGCTTCACATGATTTTCACTACATTTTGAATTTTTTACTTAGGAGTAATCACAAACACACAATGAAACATTCCAATGGTGGAGCGGCATTCCAAGTGATACATCGACGACGTGGAGTCTCGACGGCGTGGCGCGTGGGTGATTTCCGATGGCGAAAAGCTGGCGGGGCGAGGGAAGGGTCCGAGCTATCCATTCCGGCCGAACGAACGGTCATCGGTGGCGGCGTTGGGGTGCGATGGCTGTGACGGCGGGAGACAAGGCGGCACGGGGGGTGGGAGAATGAGGGGTGCCAGTTTTACTCGTCCGCTGCAAAAGTGAGTAAATTCGGGCCTTGTTCGGCATGAGTGTGAATCCGAGTGGATTGAAGAGGTTTGAGGGGGATTTAAACCACTTGTAAGTCAAAATATGTCCCAATCCTTGCCAATCCCCGTCAATCCTCTTAGGGAGAGGATTCACCGAACAAGGCCTTAGGGAGATTTGGGGGGATATTGGGAGTTGGAGTAAAAAAAATTACTCCGCTACGCCGGATTGAGGAACGGCGGTACGTGCACCGTAAGGGATTATAACTGAGTTTTTACTCCCTTATGGCCTTTTTGGAGATCGGTTGTACACCCAAAATCTCCATTACTTAATCCTAATCAGCACCCATTAAGCTCTGTCAGTTTTGGAAGCAGACAACCACGATATAGCATTATGAAGTGACCGTGGGTCTTGGTGTATCTGCGTGCTCCTCCAAAACAAATGGAGAATAATGCATCCATGCATGCAGGCGTTCTCTAGGTGCTGCATACGCCATCGGTTCCTTTTTCTGCCGCCCTGCTATAGCAACGCAAAAGCTAAGCTACCGCATTATTCGTGCCCAATGCTGAACTATCAAAAGTAGACGTATAGTAATAAATTTATAATTGCATCAGATTTGGGCGATCGATCAGAGATCGCGTGGTTAAAAACAATTACAACTCTGTTGAGCTTCAGCACATCACATCTATGGTTAGGCTCTGTCTAGCCGACCACGTGACACATGTGATAAGCAATCCAAACAACTTAAAAAAAAGCTCTGACTAACCTATTTGCTGTCATCCACGAAAGAACTTAGTTTACGTGGATCGAATAATGCTAATTTTCTAACCACGAGGGAAGATTCCTTGCATTTCACATCCGTGTCAATTAATAATTATTAAAAGTGTAAGACTATATCTGGACGGCATACGCGTACGTGTGGTGGTTAGCCGCAGAAGAAACAGAGTCAAAATGAAGCGCTGTGTTCTACACTTGATTAATCAGCAACTTTTTGGCGATGCCGCACGCTGTATTGTTTATGGATTACTACTGCACCGCTGCGGATCGGGACGGGGTTGATAAAGTCAACCCGGTTAAGTGGTTGGTCAGAGGTCAAAATCGATCGGAACGGGGTTGACTCTACGGAGATCGCCGTAGAGCCGGGAGGAGCAGACATGAAGTCACGTCGGTTCAGTTATGTACCATGATTCGTATCCATTTTTCCATATTTTTTTCCAGTGCTATAGAAGAATCAAAATGACGCCCCCATCATCTTGGAATCATGCGGTCCATTTGCAGAGCGGATTGGGGCGATCGGATTGTTGTGTTTTGTTGTGTAAAGTAAGGGCGCGGGAGCCTGGTGTGGATGATTAACTGGTCCCTGTGTGTGCCTGTCAGCAACAGGGGATCTAATTTGGGGATCGATCGCATATATATATGCTCTCCAAGAACAATGATCTGCTGCTGATCTTCTTGCCAATCATGAAGTGATATACTCCTTTTGTCCGAAAATACTTGTCATCAAAATGGATAAAAAAGAATGTATCTAGAACTAAAATATGTCTTGATACATCTTCATTTATTTATTTTGATGATAAGTATTTCTGAACGGGGGAAGTACATAGAGAGGCAGGTACAGAGATGCAGTGGGCGATGAAGCAGGATGCATGAGAGCTAGTTGAGCGCCCTAGTTGTGTGGAGTGACGGAGCTAGAATCTACCAAATGTCACAGTTTTGAACTGGGATCGAGTATAGATTATTTCAAGCAAACGAAATCTGACGTCCTGGCAAAGATCCCATGCAGATAGCATATTCTTCAAGAACCAGTTCTTCTCGATGCATACTGGAACGACAGCGGGCCACCGCGCAGCCTCCTCTGGATCCTTTACCACATCATCATCTAGATCATGAACGGGAGAAGCCAAACCCTAACAAGAGGGAGGGAAAACTCATATTTTGTTGCATGCTGAGGTGTGGCAAAGTAGGTAGGCAGCGACATGGCGGAGCGGGGCGTACAAGTCGTGGCCGTCCTCACGGGACATGACGGCCCATCGCCATTCGGGCCACCCAAACGGCATGGGAGCCAGCCGAGCGAGCAGGCAACGCGGTGAAGCAATGCTGTGTCGCGCGGCTACTCGCCACATATTGTTGTGTGCCTAAAATAAGTGTTTCAATTTTATACTAGCTTTAGTATAAAATTATACTAAGCTTGAGACTGTTATTTTGGGACGGAGGGAGTACTTGGTTGCCACTTGCACACAGTGAAAACCAAGCGCGGTACAGCCAAGGATTGTGCTCCCGTACCCTTGGGCGCTGTCTGGACCCGATCGGCGCGGCATGGCCATCATTCTCCTCAGTTACAGATCTCTGTGACTTGTGTTGGCGTCTTTACATACGTATATACTTCCTGCACCAAATATCTCCCAAATATCATAGCGAAAGCGTGAGCGGGGGGAAGAAACGAATAGCAAGCAACCATGTCTCTTTGTTTGTCTGTCTGTCACCACAAGTTGGTGATTGTGATACATAGTGCACTGGCAAAGTCTTACTCTTAGTCTGTCCACCGTTCTTCTTTCGTCAGGTTTGACATTCACAGTACTATACTACTCCCTCCGTTCCTAAATATAAGCCTTTTAAGATATTTCAAAATAGACTACGTACGGATATATATAGACATATTTTAGAATGTAAATTCATTCATTTTGCTTCGTATGTAGTTTATATTGGAATCTCTAGAATATTTTGGAATGGAGAAGTACTAGTCTACTTGTATTGCCACTTGCCACTGCAAAGTCTCCTGCCATCCCTCCGTTCTAAACTTGCTTTGTTCTGCAGTCGAGGCTTGATTCCTCCTCGTTTTCAGATTTTGTTCACTTGGAGGAAAGAAGTCAGGTGACAGGCCAATTTCCAACGCGTTGCTCATCGCACGAACCATTCAGTCAAGCAGATCCGGTGAACAAACAGCCACTGGTTACCAAGCTAATTAAGTACACACATGGGCGGCTTGGCTTGGCCTGGCCCAGATCGAATCGATCTTAGATTGATGTGACATTTGGTTCTAGCTTTAGATGATTTTCACTGCATTTTGAATTTTTTACTTAGGAGTAATCGCAAACACACGATGAAACATTCTGTGCCAGAATTTTTTACTTAGGAGTGTGTCAGTGGCTGCCTCCGACACTCAACGCCGTCAGTCCCGAACAGAATTTTGTACTACTGAATTAAACAATTCTTCTCGATTCTGCACGACGACGGTTTAAGCGCGAAGAAGAAAAACCAGCCAAATCCATAATTCATCGCATGAACCACTCTTCAGGCTGCCCATAATAAGAGTATTATAGGTAGTATCATGCATGCCAACTAAGCAAGTTTGATGAGGTGTCATAGAATTAAATAAAGAAAAAAAAAGGCTTGAGTATCATACCGTCTCATATTAAATAATGTGCTACTTTGTGTCATGCATGGCAATAAATGTAGTCCTCCATGATACCAACTTATGATACTATGCATTAAAAATGTAGTATCATATACTAATATCATATGCATGATACTAATATATGCATGATACTCCCCATTACAACCAGCCTCAGGTCAAACAGATGGAATAAACACCAGCAGCTAATTACTCCTACTTACCACTAGTGCCAACCTATAATTAATTTAAGTACAGTTCATGCATGCGGCTTGGCCCACTCACTGGAGCTGTACTTGATTGCGACACTCGAGCGTACTACCCTCCAAGGCTCCAACTACATCTCAATCGGTTTGACTTAACCATCCATCACAGCCCGATGACGTTCCTGGAGGTGGTGACGCCGCCGTCGACGACGAGGTTGTGCCCGGAGATGTACCTCGACTCCTCGCTGGCCAGGAACAGCGCCGCCTCCGCGATGTCCCCCGCCCTCAGCGTCGGGCCCTTTAGCGTCGCCATGCCCCGCACCATCTCCTCCGTCTTCTCCACCTCCTCCGCGCTCACCGGTGCCGCCGACGCGCCCCCTTCTTCGGCCTCGCGATGGTGGCCATGGCGCCACGCGTTCACCAGCATTGACGTGGCCACGCCGAAGGGGGACACGCAGTTCACGCGGATGCCGTGCTCCCCGAGCTCGCAGGCCGCGTTCTTGGTCAGCCCCACCAGCGCGTGCTTCGACGCCGTGTACGCATGCGGGCCCATCCCGCCGAGCACGCCGGCCACGCTCGCCACCGACACGATGCTCCCGCCGCCACCACCGCCGCGGCGCTGCAGCATGGCCCGCGCCGCGTGCTTCATGCCGAGGGCCGCGCCGAGCGTGTTTACGCGCAGCACGCGGTCAAACTCGGCGGCGTCCAGGGACGCGATGCCGCCGCTCCTGGCGCCGTTGCTCGCTGGGGGCGCCTGCCGGCCCAGCACGCCGGCGTTGTTGCATAGCACGTCCAGCCGCCCATGCCGCGCCACGCAGCACCCGACGGCGCGCTCCACGTCGGCCTCCACCGACACGTCGCAGTGCACGTAGCTGCAGCAGGCGCCGCCCAGCGCGGCCGCCAGCGCCTCCCCGGCCGCGTCGTCGATGTCGGCGATCACCACGCGCGCGCCTTGACGGACGAACGCGCGCACGATCGCCTCCCCGATCCCGCGCGCCCCGCCGGTGACGATGGCCACCTTGCCCTCCAGCCTCCTGTGCTGCTGCTGCTGCACCAGCACGGCGGAAGCGGCGACGGCATTGTTGGTGACGGTGCCGAGAGCGACGGTGTCGGCTATGGGGGCCTTCTCGGCGGGCATGAAGTCGAGAGCGGTCATGGCTAACAAGGGCGGTGCGGTGATGATGTGTGGGACTTTCAGTTGCAGCTATGCATGGATGGATGGACGGGAGTGCAACGAGATCGAGCCGCACGGACGTTTTTATATAGGGGCCGGAGCGGCGGACCGGAGCCACGCGGACGCCGGTGGGGACGGCATTTGGCACCGTCTTCGTCTTCATGGGCCGCGTGTGCAGTGCATACACACGTAGCGGCTGTATCAATCCGTGTTAATCTGGTGGTGGTACTAATTCTTTTCTGTAATTCATTGCCGTTTGACCCTCATCTTCTCACCTACGTTCATGGCGACGGCGAGAGCGATGTGTGCATGTCAGACCGACGTCAGTGCTCGCTGCAAATATTATACAGTAACATATCCCGGGCTGGTCAAATGTTGCCAGGCTGTGGCCGTTCACACCATCCGTGTGATTCAGTTTCTTTGTACGTGTGCTGGATCATGAGGTCAAGAATCACCTTTTCTCCAAGTCATGGTTAACTACCGAGTAAAATATAGAGTAATCATCGTTTACCGAGCTGTCTCTTCTAATTATAGTCAGCTTAGTTAGTCTTGAACTTCCCTAAAAAAAAGTTAGTCTTGAACTGCACACTGGACCCTTGCAAGTTGCAAGGCTGAGAGCAACTCTAGTGGACTCCGCATCCCGCCCCGACCCGTAAAATAACCGCCAAAATGCGGGTCAACGCGAAAAAACCAGCCCGATCAGACCCTGCATCCCATCACGGCCTGCAAAAAGTTTTAAGGGCGCGGCAAAATCCCGACCCCAATTCGGGAAAACGCGGGTTTCGCCCCAGCCGCTGCGGTGCCCTGCATATAAGCGGAAGCGGGTGGTGGGAGGACATT